AAGTGGGATACCAGCATGGGAAGACACTGTTTGATGTTTGGCGGCGGAGCAATGTGGTGGACAGCATGCTTAAAGACAGACATCAGGAGGAGTTCCATAAGACCAAAAGTAGTCATGTGAGCACAATTTGTGCATGCGTGTGCGCGCGTGCATATGCAGTATGCGTACGTGGGTGTAATTTTGTGTGTTTGACTTCCTGTAATGCAAGTTTGTTAATGAACTTGGTGTCATGCAAGTTTGTTGATGATACAAGATCCTGTTCTAATGGCTCCCGCAATTAACACATTTTTGATATGAGGTGTGTCAGAAAAGTTACAGGACTGGAGTTACAACATGCAGTTCAAACACACTACACGTACTGTAACTACAAGGTTCCCCCTACGATGTGAGTCACGCAATCAATCAAAGAGATCTGCTGCGTTTTCTTCTGTCGGCGCATGAAGAAGAGGTGAAAGTTGTGGCAGGACAAATGGTTGAGTGCTTCACCATCCAACAGTTCTTGGTTGAGAAGGACATTGCCGTTGTGTAGCAACTCCCTTAGACTAAATTGACCTGGCTTTCCGTAAATGTCTCCTCTTTGCAAAGCTCAATGGAGTCATCAAGAGACTTCTTTTGAAGATGTGGACCACAGCAATCTCATCAGGAAGAATACTTCCAGAAGGGCATGGCAGAGAGAACTTCAGAGAGATATTACTTTGAAGGGGAAGACTTGTTTTGTCTGCTGGAATAGACTCCAGCTCACGTGCGGCAAAAAATGAGCACCGATTGTATAAAAAAATTGATGAGTGGATGGTTTTAGTTTGAGAAAGAAATGGTATGAGAACAGACGCTGATATGGTTTTTGTCTGCTAGGTGGTCACATGTCCAAATGCCTCCTTCACTGACTTGGCCGAGATCGTGTCACGGATCGAGCCTGTCAAGAATGCGTTGATTGAAGGTTTCATTTTTAAATCATTTTTAAAGCGCATTTTGTAACCTTGTAAAAACACGATCTAAATGATCCACAAAACAATTTTTTTCAGAGGAACTATCAGAAGACTACCAGACTGATTATGATGAGGAGGCAGTAGAGAGCCCTCTGTCCGACTTTGAGACGTTCATGCCTGGCGGCGAATACACAGAGGGAGAGGAGACAGTCGACACCGCTGAAACGGTACGTCCTAACAAACAAGTCAACTCAAAGCATCGGCAATGAAATTCAAATACGGTTTGTCGATTTGCACACAATTAGGATTTTCTTTCTCGGTGATTCCAAGTATGACTTTAAACATATGATAATGATGATGATGTCAAACTTGATTAAAGAATGAAGTCTAATAAAGTAAATCACCTTGTGTCATTCAGAAGTAATTGTTATCAAGATGGTGATTTTTATTTTGGGAGATCCAAGTTGTCCCAATGTGTTGCTGTCCCATGTGATGCCGTGGAAATTATGTCAAGTTGAAGAGTGTGATATTGTCAAGGCCAAAATATACCTTTGGCATCAGCATGTCCTTTTTATTTTTCCTTTTGCTAAAAGACATCCTTTGATTGTTATTGTGTAGAAGGGATTAGATATGTTTTGAGATGTTTCTGCTGCGTTTTCACAAAACCATAATATTTTGTCACGGTTCATCAATTTTAGGACCACTGAACTCAAGGGTAGTATCTCAAACCATTGTACTTACCGGTAAAGGCTACAGTGAATTTTCCAAGTGCAATATTCAACAAAAGAAATGTTGTACATTGCACAAGATGGAAGCATGCATCCATCTTTTCCCTCAAATTTTACTTGAGTTTTACTGTGTTTCTGCTGTGGTCAAAGAGTGAAATGGATTAAATTATTCAAAAAAAAAAAAAAAAAAAAGGAAAGGCATCAATCTGTGAACACGTCCTGTCATTAAAATGCAAGTCAGTAAAACGCAAGTAATTCCTAGAATGGGAAAACAGAGGATTTAGAAGCAGCATTGTAATTTTTTTTGTTTGTTTTTAATCCACAGGATGAGGAAATTCAAGTCAGAATGCGTCACCGAGTGAATCATTCACAAGAAAGTCATCAACTCTAATGTCCATCAAACATCAGAAGTGTCTGTCAGGACTGCTGCCCACAATACATTTTCAGCACATTGTTTCTTGGGGAAAATTCACCCAATTTTCAATATTGATACACTTATGGTCTACATATGACTTTCTTTCGTAACTGGAAAAATATATTGACTGAATGACACATTCAGTGACTGAAAAACTCTTCCATCAGCAAAGTTTTAATTTAGGAAGAAAACTATACAGACTGTTTGCTGCTAGATTTGTATTTCTTTGGTCAGATTTCAGTGGGCAACCATGATTTCAGTTGGTCAGTGAACTCGGATTACGCTGGACATCCATTGGATATGGCAAGCATCGTCACAATATGATACGATGTACAGAGTATGTTGGGCAGTGTCACTTTTTGGAACAGTTTCCTGCATATACCTCATGAAGTGCATTTCATAATTGTGTGTGCGTGCGTGCGTGCGTGCGTGCGTGCGTGCGTGCGTGCGTGCGTGTGTGTGTGTGTGTGTGTGTGCATTTATGTGTGTTCATAAGTTCAGTATACTGTGCCTTCAATTTTATCTACTAAAGGAGGCCCTCCTCCAGTGCTGTGTAAAAAGAGAAAGAATCTGATTTTTGCTTCTAGACTGAGAACATTTGGGATTGACCTCACAAGATGACTATGATGAAACAAAATATAATTCCATCCCGATACGCTTTATCCTCACAAGGGTCACGGGGGATTCTGGAGCCTATCCCAGCTGTCTTTGGGCAGTAGGTGGGGGGACACCCTGAACCGGTTGCCAGCCAATTGCAGGGCACACAGAGACGAACAACCATCCGCACTCACACTCACACCTTTGGACAATTTAAGATAAGATAAGATAAGAAAACCTTTATTAGTCTCGCAATGGATTTGGAGTGTTCAATCAGCATGCCATGCATGTTTTTGGAATGTGGGAGGAAACCGGAGTACCCGGAGAAAACCCACGCGGGCCCGGGGAGAACATGCAAACTCCACACAGGGAGGCCGGAGCCAGGATCGAACCCACGACCTCTGCACTGTGAGGTCGACACGCTCGCCACTGGACCACCGGGCCGCCCGAAACAAAAGATAGAGGTTTTATTTTCAGGCATTTACATAAACCTCTAAGACACAACTTACCTTGAATTATTTCTAACAAAAATGTCACGTTATTAAGTGAGCAAAAGTGCTGGAACACACTGTTAAAAACAGCTGAAGTGGATCAGGCATAATGGTTTGTTCGAAATTGTATGGCTGTAATAACTGAATTAAGTCTCTGATCCTTAGGCATACTTGATTGGTGATTACGGTATTTTGCAGGCTTTCATCGCAGGCCCCTTTCAGTTATTTTAAGGGATCACTCCCATCAGTCACCTCTTTCGCAACTACGGTGAATGCTCAGTAGAGTTTAAGTGTGGAGACTGACTTGGCCCTTTTTAAAACCTTGCACTTATTGCAGTTCAGTGACATTCTAGTCATTTTGGCAATTGTTGAGTTACTGCATGATAAAGTTTCACCGAATTAATTTGCCTGCATATTTCTTTAAATTGTCAGACAGTATGTTTCTTTCAATTTGAGTGTTAATTTTGCTGCTGCGATCATGTCGTTTGGTCAAGATTTAGTCGTCAGTCCCAGATGAAGCTATGCTAGGCCAAGCCATGACGTGTACCTCCACTAAATTTCACAGATGAACTTGTGTAATATGTGAATGTAACTGTGGAATATTGACACTTGGAGGATATGTTTTTTTTTTTCCTCAAAGTTTGAGCATTTCTATCTTCCATCATGGTGGCAAAGGGTTTTCTTTGTTTCATCGATTTATAAAATTCTAGCTGGGCCTGTACTTTTGATCATGTTCATGACCTTCACTTGTACGATATCTTCGAGAGATAGGTATTATCTTCTAGATAAAGGTTATGGCACTTGTCGGGTCTTTCATGACATCTTCAATGATTCTCTTCTCAACTGCTGTTGTTGTTACTTGCTCTCGTGGTTTCTTTCTTTTTTGGGACATTTAAAATGGTTGCATTGGCGATGACGGCGGTTTGCGCGGGCTCTAACTGATATTCCATTGTTCACTTTCACAATTGGGCAGCCCGGTGGTCCAGTGTTAGTGTGTCGACCTCACAGTGCAGAGGTACCGGGTTCGATTCCAGCTCTGGCCTTCCTGTGTGGAGTTTGCATGTTCTCCCCAGGCCTGTGTGGGTTTTCTCCAGGTACTCCGGTTTCCTCCCACATTCCAAAAACATGCATGCAGTCTGACTGAACACTCAACTAAATTGTCCCTAAGTGTGAGTGTGAGCATGAATGGTCGTTCGTCTCTGTGTGCCCTGCGATTGGCTGGCAACTGGTTCAGGGTGTCCCCTAACTCCTGCCCGAAGACAGCTGCGATAGGCTCCTGCACGCCCCGCGACCCTTGTGAGGATAAAGTGGATCAGAAAATGGATGAAGATGTGTAATGCAACAAACCTGTTTGTAGGCACACTTAAAATCAACATTGTATTCTGCACTCGCTGAATTATTTCCTTTCGATGTCTGTCAAGTTAAAGTGTTGAATAACATTACATTCAAATGTGGTATAATTTTGAGTACTCGTGCTACAGGATATGGTCGAATATATCTGCATTATATGATAGACTTTAGAGTTCTGTCACTACAGAACTGTAATTTACAGAAGTGTTTGTATATGTTGCTCATTTAAAAAAAATACAGTCCTGCCAATAAAATGTAGATGAAATGTTCAATAAAAATAGTCAATCTCCGAGTCAAGTCTTGAGTCAGATCTGACCAGAATATAATCTTTGTCAAAGGGGAGGGATTTAACAGTGTGCGACCCCTGTAAGATTGTTTCACAAAAGAGGAAGCTGATACCGTAAGTCATTTGCCCCCCACAATTATAACAATCATTGACACAGATTTTTTTTTTTTTTTTAATGTTGGCTTGACAAACTGCACAACAGACTGCTCATAGCAAACATATTTTGTTTTTTAATGCTTGTATTATTTTTTAACATTTTAAACATTGAAAGTGCAGCCTACTTTGACTTCCAGCAGTGGCACTTTCAAAGCTATTGAACCACTATGCTTTCCAAAAGTGACATGTGACAAACTTACTTCGAGACTCCCTGTCACCTCCAGATGTTCATTCGCACCATGGTGTGTGGCTACTTTTCTTCAGCAGGGACAAGGAAGATAGACTTCATGGGAAGATGGATGGAGCCAAATCCAGGGCCACTTAAACCTGTTGAAGGTTGCAAAAGACCTGAGACTGGGATGCAGGTTTACCTTCTTCGACAATGCAATGGTTCAAAACTAAACATATCCAGGTGTTAGAATGACCAAGTCAAAGTCCAGACCTGAATCCAAGTGATAATTTGAAAAAAGATTTTAAAACTGCTGTTCACAAACGCTATCCATTTAATGTACCTGAGCTGGAGCTGTTTTTTCCAGGAAGAATAGGAAAAAAATTAAAATAAAAAAATCAGTCTCTCAATACACAAAACTGTTAGAGGCATACCCCAAAGGACTTGTATCTGTAATTGCAGCAAAAGGTGGTCAGTATTAACTCAGTGTTAGCATTTGATGAGCACATGGTGGACCTTCGCATAGCAGCACAGGATTCAGTTCGCAAGATGACTGTGTGTGCTACTGTTAAACACATTTCTGAAAGGTTTCTACATGTAGATATTTCACTATTACAGACATCCAATTTTTAGCATCCATTGAAGAAAGGCAAAATGCGAACTGAAAACTTTTGGTTATTGTCTTTGAATGTTACATTTACTCATAATTAGAGGATGGACAGCGAATTCTGGCACACTCAAAATGTGATTATGAAAATAAAATACACAAAATCACTCGTTTTACAAAGTAATTTTCTTGTGCACTGTAAAACCATCTATCCATCTTCCGATCCTCTTATCCTCACAAGGGTCGCGGGGGGTGCTGGAGCCTAACCCAGCTGTCTTCGGGAAGTAGGCGGGGGACACCCTGAACCGGTTGACAGCCAATCGCAATGTACACACAGACGAACAACCATCCACGCTCACACTCACACCGAGAGACAATATATCCGCTAGGGTGACACACTGTTTTGATTAGAATAGAAGACAACATTGTTTTGATCAGAGACGAAGACAACGGCAGTCTCAGTCTGTCATCGAGACAGACCCAACACAGCAGATGCTATCAAGAACATGTGAATACTGTATTTTCTTCTTTACACATTTAATAGCACTCTCCTTAGTTTGTAAGGAGTAGGCAGGGATTAAATTTAGATTTTATATGCACATGTGTAAATGGTTGAAAATTCCTTTCTTTATAAATCTCGTTGAGTCTTAAAGTCCATTACTATATTTTTCAATACCAATGATTTGTTAAAAGTTTTGTGCCTTTGTACAATCAGTTGCAATGCATACATGTGAATGATAAAAGTAAATCACACATTTGTCTAAGGAAATCTATGGTGTTTCATGAAATGTTTTGTCAAAGATATGCTCATTAAATTTCAACATTTTCCCAATGTTCTTGTGCTTCTTTAGACCAAAACAAAGGAAAGACATATTATTTTGGTTATTTATAGCAGAGTATGGTATAATTTTAATGGTCCGGCCCACTTGACATCTACCGAGGCCGTATGTGGCCCACAATGTGAAATGAGTTTGACACCCCTGATGTACATGAAAAAATGTTTTGATTCATGTAACCACTTATCTGAGCAGTGTTTTGGGCATGCAAAAAAAAGAAATCACTATCAATGGGAGAAAATGTTACAAAATGAAGAAAACATGCTGTAAGAGAGTTATTACATTCCTTGTGTGTGTGCAAATGTTTGGCCAAATATAAGGCCTATTTTTATTTTTTTAATTCATTCCGCTATATTTTCATGATTTTCACTGATTCTGTTGAGGCACTTCTGTGATATTGTTCCCTAAAAACAATGTCAATATGTACATGAAACTGGGCGACCTTTTTTCTTTTCTGTCTGTCTGTCCGTCCGTCTGTCCGTCTGTCTGTGTTAGCTTTTGCGCAGGCGCTAGAACGCCATTTCCGGGTACGACATGTAATATAAATACGCTGACCTACTCGATCGTCGATAGAACATACGAAACCAATGATTCCTATATGTCCTGTTGTATCCTTCACCTATGGTACGTGTCATTACAGCATTCATGTTTTCTGTTAACGACGCTGTAGCCACAGCATCGACATAAGAAGTTCATTTGTCGTTGGAGCTCTCCGTGTAGCTTGATGCGAGCAGTTAGCTTAGCGTAACCGTGTATGTCTGTCCTCCGCAGTGCCCAGCCGGCTTGGTGAAGATGCCAAAATGGCTACCGGCAATTACTTTGGATTCACTCATGGCGCTGCCGCCCAGTATAGGTAAGGCGATCACATCTCCGTGAGCGTTCATATGATCGAGGGGGTCGTCGCTCACTGCATGTGACGATCCAGTTTACTTTATAGTTAATTGCTTTCCGCCGCTGCCTTTGTTCATGCCGGGGGGAGGTGAGAGTATCCCCCTGCTCCATTCGGATGTGAGCAGGCATTCAGAGGAATTCATCCAGTGTACTCGGTCAGAGAATAACGTGTCGTCGGCATATTATTTCCCGCAGCGGGTTGTGACAATTTATATTGCCTGTCTACCAGAATTTCACAATGCATTGAAGAGCTGTGACTACAAAGCTGGGTTTCGAAGCAGCATTGATTTTCCCTTAGGACAAATGTATTATTTCAATCACAAGGAGGTTATACAATGTTAATTTGAACCCAAAGTAAATGATCAACATGCGAATTAACACTTCTGTGAAAACGGCGTTTACAGACTTACCTTAAACCAAAGGTCATTTAGGAGTGAGGAATAGTTTTCATATCCCGTACCATACCGTAGCTGTCCATGTAATGGTAGTTTGCTGCCAGAGCACCTGTGAAAAACATGCACCATAGTGAAATTTTACGGGAGTACATGCAGTACATGTACATGCATCCTCATCAAAGGTCCATCATCACAAAGGCACAAAAAGATAATATATAATCAATTCAGTGAACTTAATTGGTACAGCATCATAGACTGGTATTACAGAATATCAGCTTGTAGTAACCGTGAATCACATCAGACACACTCTGACTGCAACATCTATGATTCCGAGGACCTTATATCGTCAAACAAAATAAAACGCCAATACTAGTGTTCATTTTAGCAGTATTTGGCACAGTGCATTTTCTAAATTACACTCGCATGATTTCACTACCATATATATTTAAAAAGGCTTGGTGAATTGGTGCCCAAGAAGAGTGAAATGTTTGTATATGTAAAATGTATTTTTGTATTTTTAGATGGCTTCATAGTATTAGTGCACTCTGCTTGTATAGTTTTTGGCTCCAGTTTTTAAAATGCAGTAAACATTTACAGCGAAACCATTTAAGGCCACAGTCAACTTTAATTTAATTTGCTCCATCATTATGAATGTGTCAGTGTTGCCGGTACTTACTGCAAAGTTGAATGTAGTAAGAACTTAATTGTCTTTAATATTAATTTGTCCATACATTTAAGAATTCAAGCTGTAAGATAATTATGGTTATTTCAGAGAAGCAGACTAATCATGACTACAATTAGTGATTAGACGACTAGCAAAATAATTGTTTGTGGCAGCCGTACGTGACATTTTAAATTATATACTGTATACAAGTGAAACAAAACAAATGGATTTGGTTGAATAAAAAAATAATAAAAACATAAAATAAAAGCCAATACTAGTTTTTATTTTGTTCTCTTTAGCACAGTGCCTTTTCCTAATTTTACTGATCTGATTGCTTGAAAATGATGCTTGATTCCTGAGAATAGTGAAATACATTGAAGTCTTTTTTTTTTGCGTTTATCAATAGTTTTATTGTAGTCATAGTGCATCTTTGTGTACAGTTTTTGGATCCATTTTGAAATGCACTAAACATTTACAGCTAAAAACATTAAGGCCACTGTACTGTATCACCTTCTTTTAAGTTGCACCATTATTTATAAACATGTCAGGAATGCAACTGCAATCTGCAAAGTTTAACAAGTTAAGTTTAAAGTGAAGCTTATTTTTAGTTTGCATTTACCTGTTAAGAATGTAAGCTGTGCAATATGCTATGCTTTACATGTGATCCGATTACCTAAAACAGGGGTGCCCATTACGTCGATCCTGATCGACCGGTAGATCTAGGACTCGTCCCAATTAGATCCGAAAGGTGTAGGGGAGAAAAAAAATTAGCATTTGTGTGTCTTTGTACGTTAGTAATATATTTTTTGTGTTAATGCACACTGCACCCTAGTCATCCTATCAGTCTCATTTTCCCAAAGAAAGGTTTTAAAAATAAAATAAAGCATATAAATCTTTAACCTCCGGTGGCGTGTGACTACGTCAGCGGAAGTTGTTAACGCTCAGCAGTTTGCAATTGCAGCTTGTGATCAGAGCTGTTGCGCTATATCTTTGACCGTCATTATTCTCATTCAGAGTTTGCTTCGTGTACAATTCACCGAGGGCACGGGCAAAGAATAGGAATCTAGAGGGCTAAGGGAAGCACTTTAAAACGGTACGTGTGAGCTACGATAGTCCACAGGCTGCAAAAGTGCATCGCTTGGTTCCGTGTTTGGCTTCTCATCATGCCGCGCGTGCGTGCGCGTGTGCGTGGGTGCATGCACGCGTCTGTGTGTGCGTGGGTGCATGCACGCGTCTGTCTGTGTGTGTGTGTGTGTGTGTGTGTGTGTGTGTGTGTGTGTGTGTGTGTGTGTGTGTGTGTGCGCGCGCGCGCGTGTGTGTGTGTGCGTGAGTGCGCGGTAAGGGGCGATCCGGGGAGGGTGGTTGAACGAAAAGTAGATCTTCGGTCCAAAAAGTTTGGGCACCCCTGACCTAAAAGACAGGCCATAACACGATGCAAACTACTCATCAGTGAAAAGAATCGGATTGCCAACATTGAATTTTGCAAAAATTCCCGAGATGAGCCACAAAATTCTTGGAAGAACGATTTATTGATTGATGAGACCAAGAGTAACCTCTGCCAAAGTATGAAGAAAGGATCTGCTTAGGATCCAAAACGCACATACTCATCTGGGAAGCATGGTGGAGGTGATTTCATGGCTTGTACTTGCATGGCTGCTTCTCAAGGGGGTTCACTTTTCTTTATTGATGTAACTTAGAGTGGTAGCAGCAGAATGAATTCTGAAGTCGACAAAGACTGGCAATTTACATAAAAATCCATCCAAACAAATCGTGAGAAGCTTCATCATGCAACAGGGGAAATACCCAAAACACCCTGCCAACACGATGAATCATCAGACAAGGTGTCTCAGCAAAAAGCAGCTGCCTCACTCCACATGTGGATCAGATTCTTTTTTTGTTTTAACAGAAAAATCTCAGAATTTCCAAGAAATAAGAATGTAATCATAAAACGGGCTTCAATTTCATCTACTTGACATTTTAGGTTGGTTGTTGTATTCCTATAATCCCAGCTCAGAGTGAAGGAATATTTAGTTCTTTGTTTTGCACAACTTTTGAAGCCAGCTTGCAAAGTCATCATTATACCAGTGATGGCAATTTTCCGCGGATACGCGGAAGTACGCCGTTTTATTTCTTAAATTGATCATTTTTGTGAATCGTCTAAATCCGTTGAGAAAATTTTAGGGGTGGTCAGGTACCTTATCGTCGAGTTTTCATGAGCTCTCCCAATCAGTCTTTCCATCTTCCGATTGTAAACAGCCCTGCGATTGGACATGTATGATGTCTTACTTGTGATTGGTCGCTATATCGGCAAATGCAAATCACAACCAATGCGTGTTCGCCTTCCTAAACCCCTTTCTCGCGAATGCCGAATGTTATCGAGACTCGCGACGAAGCTGAAATGCGTCAGATAGATGCGGATCTGAAAAACACGTTTGGATGGGACTGGTTGGATAGAAAGCTGACGGTGTCCCCAGTAGGAAACAGTAAAGAGGAACCATTGTGTTTGTGTCGGATTTCGTGAAAAAGCTCGATGTCGCCGGTAAAGCTCTGTGTACAGTGTGTGACGATGTCATTCTGTACGGATCGAGAGGATGGAAGGCTTTACAGAGTCACGCAACCTCGGTGAAACACTGAAAACAGACTTTTCTACTGAAAAGTAACTACTCGATCTCAAGCCCTTTTCGACAGCCTGGAGCATGTGTAAAAACAAGAAGAGTTGGCTAAAAAGAGAGTGGAAAAAGACGGAGAGGACCAATAAGCTTTTTGCGCTTGCTAAAAAGCTTAAAATGAAGAGAAAATAAAGTATTCTACGTCATGAAACTGAAACTTTGCAGTTGTATATACTGTAAATAGAAATCCACTCTATATAATACATTTATAACCCATATATAGTAAACAGTGTGGGATTTCACTATCACTGTATGAGGTAAGAATCAACAACAGCTTTTTATCACATTTACACAACACTTTATGAATACAAGTAATGAACAAATCTTAAATATGGCAGGGAATGTGTTTCCTTTTTTAGTTTTGATTTTGAGCAGCAAATTTGAAGTTACATATTGGTGCTCACCAGGAATGCATAAGCAAAATTGCACAAATTTTCACTTGAAAGAATAGTGGCAATATTGGGATTTTTTTCTGTTCAAGTTTCAAATAGTGTGTAAATTCAATACACTTCATCTTTAGCATATTTAGTGCCACTTTTGTAAGTAGCCACGCCCCCGCCCAGGCCACGCCCCTTTCCGCTTTTTTCATCACTCGCCATTGCCATCACTGTTATACTGAACAGCAGAGCTGAGGGTGGGAGTAATGTTTGTTCTTCCTCAGGGATAAGCGATGTTCACTTGTTTGTCACCTTATGACACTGAATTTATCATCGGTTTATTCTTCAGATACACATTTTTGTATTCATTTTATTTTTAAAATAAGGTTCTCTCTCATGGATCAAAAACTGTGTGCGCATGTGCATACAATGTCATATTTGGTTATGGATACCGATATTGTTCATTCAACTCTGCTGGCAAGGAGCCTCAAGTAGAGTTCTTGCTATTGCTTGATGAAGCGGTGACACAAGGTCAAGTCAAGCTTATTTATTTAGCCCTGAATCCCAAAACAGTCTCAAAGGGCTTCACATGCCCACAGTTGACAAATATTAACTACATCCCCTGATCTTAAACCCCAGGACGGCAAGGGTAAAAAAAAAAAAAAAAAAAAACCCCGGCCGAGTAAAAATCAGAAACTTTGATGGGAGAATGCCTCTTCCAGGATGACCAGGCTGCAACGGATGCCGAGTGGGCAACCTTTTACACAATATGGTGCTACACAATGTTAGTTATAACAACATGAAAGTCCATTTAATAAGATCAGAGATGAAAGTCCTCCGGATTTTCCCGGAATTCCGGGTTTTTCAAATTTTTATGAAAATTTCTCCGGAGAAATGAGGAAAATTTGCATAATCCGGATATGAGTTGACAACATTGAACGAAGACGCGTTTGAGTTCGTTGTATTGCTTTCACGAGCGTAGCCATATTGAGGCACTAACACTAGTAACAGTAAAGAGATTTTTGTTTGCGTAATAACAACAGAAGGATGATGGCGTTTGACTAATGGTTTAGTAGAACGAATAGCAACTCGCAACAACAGTAGCAAGCGTCATTTTGCCTCTTGGGTTATACCATCTCAACTAGAACGTGGGGGATAGTCCCCAAACAATTTTCGTCTCTTTATAAACACACCTGCTAAACCCCAGTGGAACGAATAAAAGACGCCGTGGACAAGACAGTTGTCGTCAAAAATATATTTGGCCAAAAAGGGAAAAACACAGATAGGCAGAAAATCGTGTCCGTCTGACTTCGAGTGTCGTCTCGGCTAACTTAGCTTAGCTGTTGTCGTGTGTGACGTCATTTGCGTCGGCGCTGATTAAAAGACGCGGTTGCGTACATGTTCGCGCTGAACCCCGCACAGCAGAGCCGCGGGCTATCTACTGCTGAGGCTCGCTTAGTTTGAGTGGAGTCGCCACAACAGTAATACCCTCGCCTCGCATTCTCATGGCCTCGCCATATCTTGGAGATTTCGAAATTTCGGCCCGAACGGAAGCCACAAAGGGTACACGTGTGCACACAAAAGGAAGATTGAATGTCGAGTATTTGAATAGCGTTTTGTGTAAACTAATTCATGCTTGATCGGCCAAGTGCGTGCGCGTGTACACACACACACACACACACACACACACACACACACACACACACACTTATTTATTTATTTTTCCGGAATTTTCAGAAAAGTCCACTTTCATCTCTGTAAGATGAAATGCTGCAGGAAGAGGTTGGCCCTCCTCAAAATCTGACAGATTTCGACAAAGAAATCTCCCTAGCAGTGCCTCCAACTAGGTGGTCCACCTCAGATCTTTTACAGATAGCCGGTGCAGAGTCCGCACTGCAAAATCCAACTGGGTTATCTTCACCTTTGCCCACTTTCCAAAGAAAGGCAAGGACAAACTGAAGAATCGGCGGTTGTACAGGCCAACATGCAGTTCAACTCAATGCACAGTATACAAATCAGTCCTGAGTCTAGCCTCTTTATTTCAATTGCCTCCTTGATCCATCTTTGGAATTTATTGGTTTCTGATGTCATGGCTTTCCTTTTCTCCCAATCCATAATGTGAATACTGTATATCTTCTGCAGTGGTCTGTTATGGCTGATTTCTTGCTCTGCTTTATGATGTTGTCTTCTAGTCTAATGTCCTGTCATTTCTTTTTCGCATTCTGTTTGATGCCCTTTTTTTGTGGGTGCTGAATGTTTGTCCATGATTTCCATGGAATTTCATAGATTATCTTGCATTTCTTGTCCGGTGTTGTGGTATCATTTGGGTGCACATGTTGTCGCTGCGATTGGCTGGCAACCAGTTCAGGGTATACCCCGCCTACTGCCCGAAGACTGCTGGCATAGGCCCCAGCACTTTTGCGGCCCTTGTGAGGATAAGTGGATTAGAAAATGGATGGATGGAAGTTGTTGTCATATTTTCAGGTATAGTTTCCTCCAGTATGTGTTTGATGTTTTTTTCATGATGTGTTGAATCGGTACTGTAATTTGTCCGACACCTGGAAGTGTCGTGTTCCTGTTTAGGCGTAGAAAAAAAAGTAGTGTGTTTCCGGTAACCCAACCGACCGAGAATTTCCACCTCGAAAAAAAAACTTTACGGTCGGCATTTTTTTTCAAACAACCTTCAAATTTAACACACGTCATCATTAGTTCTACCAACAGTTAACATTAGCATTACTACACCTTGTGACGAATGGTTTATTCCAGGGGTGTCAAACATACGGCCCGCGGGCCGGATCCGGCCCGCAAAGGAGTTTAATCCGGCCCGCGAGATGATTATGTAAAGCAGGGGTGTCAAACATACGGCCCGCGGGCCGGAACCGGCCCGCAAGTAGGTTCAATCAGGCCCGCAGGATAATGTAAAAGTGAAAAAAATGCATTAAAGACACAGAATTAATATTTTTAATCAGGTGCAATTCATTGAGTATCCGCAAGGGGACACTGTTTTGATCAGAGAAGAAGACAACAGCAGCCTCAGTCTGTCACTGAGACAGACCCATGACAGCAGACGCTATCAATAGCACTCTCACATTTACACATTTAATAGCACTCTCCTTAGTTTGTAAGGTGTAGGCAGGGATTACATTTAGATTTTATATGCACGTGTAAATGCTTTAAAACTTGCTTTCTTTATGAATCTTGTTTAATCTTAAAGTGCATTACTATATTTTTCAATACCAATTACTTGTTAAAGTTTGTACAATCAGTGGGATCAGTTGCAATGCATATATGTGAATGATAAAAGTAAATTGCACATTTGTCGAAGGAAATGTAAGGTGCTTCATGAAATGTTTTGTAAAAGATATGTTCATTAAATTTCAACATTTTCCTAATGTTCTTGTGCTTCTTTATACCAAAACAAAGGAAAGACAATTGTTTTGGTTATTTATAGCAAAGCATTGTATCATTTTAATGGTCCGGCCCACTTGACATCTACCGAGGCCGTATGTGGCCCAACATGTGAAATGAGTTTGACACCCCTGATTTAGAGTGTTCAATCAGCCTGCCATGCATGTTTTTGTGAGTTTTTTTTGCTGCCATCTCAAACTTTGATCCGCGCGATTCCTCAGTTTGCGGACTAAAATAGCAACCCGCATGCGCACATAACGTTATCTGTTGCGTCCCCCCCAACATTGAAAACAAAACAAAACGAAAGTAAATTCGAAGAAACACACTCACACACCACACCACAAACACGTAGAGGCACAGTGAAATCGCGTTGATCACACAGTCAAGTCGTGTGCGGTGACTTTAATGGTTAAACTATTTTTAGGTACCGTTAAAATGACGCCACGGAAACGACACGCTACCGGAAATCCTCAGGCTTGCCGTAGTTTTTTTGTTTGTTTGTTTTGACTGAGAAATTTCCTTGCGTCCCAAAAACGCACATTATTTGGAACTTCGCGTCCCGTGGGAAAATTATGCGTCTAGGATGTGGGACGCAGAGGTAACGAGATGGCTGTAACACCCAGCCGCCGGGTACCCAACTCTCTCGCCACCTTTGGCGGCGAGCGGGGGTTTCAATGTCTCCTTTTTTTAATGTTTTATGGTTATTTTGTTTACATTTTTGGTTGGGGGGGGAGATTAAAAAAAAAACTTTGTCCGACCTACCGACCCTATGCTGAAATTTCATGTTACCGGAAACACACTACTCTTTTTCCTACGCCTTAGGTTTTGTTTTTATTGCTTTTTTTTTGTTGTTGATTTTGTCTGTCTTGCTGTTTTCCTTTGCTGGTGGCCCATTTGGTGTATTGGCAGAGTGTGAGAGTGTGTTATATGTGGTTTTCTTTCTCCTGTCTATCCCTATTGCCTGTTATGATGTTAGCTTGTAAAATATCCTGACTACTGAATGTTGGTATGCCATGGGACGTTCCGACGTACAGAGGAGGTCCTGTCATTATGTGTGGGCTTCCTATAGATTGTAATTTTTATGCTGCCATCTTCGGTGTAGTGAATGTTTAGGTCCAGACAAGCTATTGTCCGGGGTTTCTTCTTCGTGTGTGAATTGAATGTTTCCAGTTCTGTCTCTGTCATTCAGCAGATTTGTTACTTCTTGTGTGTGCCCCATCTTTATTTCCAATATGTCATCAATGTAGGCTCTAAATTTCTCAGTTTTTTTCCATTTTGTAGAAAGTATTCATTCTGTCTCCCTGAGAAAAGACCACAGGCTGGCTTCTGCAATAGTTGTAATGGGGTGTCTTTATTGTATTGTAGAAATAATAGAGCTCTTTTGTTGCACTGAATATTTATGACACCATAAGATGCAACACACTACTAAACACTGCTTTTGTATTTTCTCCTGCCAGTCAGCAGCCAGCTGCCGGGGTAGCATACACCCATCCCACCACGGTGGCCAGTTACACAGTTCATCAAGCACCTGTGGCAGCTCACACTGTAGCAGCAGCCTACGCTCCCACAGCAGCGACCGTGGCCGTTGCTCGGCCTGCACCTGTCGCAGTGGCTGCTGCTGCTACTGCCGCAGCATATGGTGGTTACCAGCCAACCCATGCTACAGCTGATTATGGCTATACTCAGCGGCAGCCTGAAGTTCCTCCACCACCACCACCAGTCACCTCACAAAACTACCAGGTACACAAGTTGATTTTTTTGGTCATATCTGTCGGCGGGAACTAGGCAGGAACACAACACGACATTGAACTGGCCTAGCCTGATTGCACCCGTACTCTCTGAACGAGGGGTCAACATTTTTTTTTTTATAATTCAAAATGCCCTACAAAATCTGCTGCACTGCCACTCTTTAAAATTGACTGATTAGCTACTACACATTGCCAAAAAGACCTATTTGGTGTTTGTAAACTAGGACGGCGTATTTTGATGTTGAACATTTAGTGGCTAGTGACAACTATGTATTTGTTATAACTGCGTTTGTCCATTCATTTCATCAAAATTAGGATTCCAGACAACATGATCTCATGATTGCCAAAGCTTTTTTTTTTTAATTCCCTTGTTTACGTATCAAAGGTATGATTCATGAAAAGTTGGATATGTGAAGTGGTTAAAGCCACAGATTTTTCTTGCATTGTTATAACCTGGGCTTTAGATTGATATTTTACCAATTTACAGTATAATATACTTATAATACCTCGCATTTGTGTGGCAAAATTATGTTGTCATGGTGATTTATAAGTTTGAACCTGTAATTCTAGTAGAGAAGTAAACTCTTTGCAATTCATGATTCATTCGCTTGTATCTTAATCTCTGATCATCAATAATAGATCTGATATTGTTTGTGATAAAGATAAATTAATTGCTGATATCAATTCAGTAAGAAGTAAAAATGTACAAATGGGGCAAGTTTTGACAATAAAGTTGTACTTAACTTGACTATTGACAATTTTGAAATGTTTAATTCCTCAATGAAAAAATGTCCTGCCACGTCCCATATATCATGTAGAAAAAGAAAAGTGCATGTCAAGTTAAGTGTTTATTTACTCTTTAAAATTGTATCAAAATCAAATAAATGGAAAACAAAAATGTAATTGTGGATGTAGAGAACAAAAGTAAAAAACAGCACTGTATTGAAAAGTAAAGTACATGTAAACTTGAAATTTCTTTACGCTCAACGAAATGCAAAGTGATAGTTAGGTCGGGGTCAGTCCAACCGTCACTCAATTTCTTGAGTCAAATGATATCGAATGAATGTAAGAAATACTTTCTGTTGCCCGGGTTTTGTCCTTCTGGTAAGAATGCACTGCACTGTGAAGGCCTTTGTATTAAAGATTAGGGAATTCCTAAAATAAAAAAATAAAAAGGAATATGACTGATATTGGTTGAATTTTCAGGACTCCTACTCATATGTCCGGTCCACCGCTTCTGCAGTGCCATACGACAGCAAGCAGTACTACCAGCAGCCAACTGCAACTGCAGTGGTGGCAGCTGCTGCTCAGCCACAACCTACTGTTGCAGAGTCCTACTATCAAACAGGTATGAGGAAATGCTCTGTTGAATAATCAATACATTTTTAGCTGTCTGTAGGTTCAATTAAGTTGATTAAAAAAATGTATTCCACATCACTGTTTTCATTTTATACTACTATTGAACACCGCTTATGTTTTCTAGCTCATTATTGATTGTAAAGTAAATGGCTTTGTGTGAAATTTAATGACTGGGCTAAGACATGAAATACATTTTTCTGCATGACATCACAAAAAATGGCATATGTAATCTTGTAACCAACCTAAACATTTGTAATGTTGCCCCTTGGGCATGATGAACAAATGCGACATATGACAGTTAAATGTTTCAATTGTCATGATAATCAGGCCTACGAATGTCTACTTTTCGGTTCACCAGCCCCCAAACCAGGTTATACTCAGGGGGTTACATCATACACCCAGACCCAGCAAACTCGTCAGGTGACGGTGATAAAGCCAGCTGCACCCAGTCCTGCTACGTCCTCTTTCTCCATCTACCCTGTGACCTCCACTGTCCAGCCTGTGGCTGCTGCCGCTTCTGTGGTCCCGTCATATTCCCAGAGTCCAACTTACAGCACAAATGCTGTCACCTACTCTGGTAAGTGTGGGTTTCTGGGCACTTGTTATGCCACTTCACAAGAAGGTAGCTGCTGCAATGTTCGAAATGCGGACACTCCATTTGCATTCAAATTATGTCTGTGGATCATGGACAGATTGGTACACCACACCTGTTGGTGCAGTTATCGCATGCACGCAAACAAAACAAACACATCTGTTGTAACATAAAATAATTTATCATGAAAGCCCATTTACAGTACAATGATAATTTAATTACTTTGAGTTTATAGCCGACTTTGTCAGTGTTGATGACTGTCAATAAGTTCTTGGAAAAACTGCACTTTCCACATCCGATTGGATTGATATTTCGTTTTCTTTTTTATTTTTAATTGCATGGTTTACACAGAACCCATAGTCATATCATTATCAAGAAAGCTGACAAAAATATTGGTTAAATTGTATCCGTATGGCACAGCTCTATTAGCAACGCATGTTACTATAATAGCTATCAAATGGTGGTACTTGCCATGCTCTGTGATTCACATTGAGTAGTAAATGTTTTACTGGTACTTCTCGAAATGATGTGTGGCTCAGAGCCAAAAACATGCCAAAAGCACACCCGTCGAACATGTTAATCTGTCCTTAATTCCTTGTGGGATTTATGTCAAAACCACTACATGATTAGATATAAATTAATATTAGGCATTAAATATCATGTTGGAGTAAAAGTATACTTTGCCAGCAAACGTCTATCCAATGTGACAATTCTCCCCCAAAATCTAATAATACCCATTCTCGACTTTGGATTCCCCCCTTCAAAAAGATATTCTCTTGTGCCTGTAATTATGGTAATAGAACAGAAAGACAAATGCATTAGTCAAGATCACAATTCATCAACATTTACCGTCTGTAATAGGTTATTTATATGTAGCCGTATTTTTACAGTTCACTTTTAGTCAGATAAATGCACATCTTGTGCCATTTCGATTCAAGTCCGCTGGACTCTATCGGCCTTGCTGTTGTGTTCAGTGTACCCCACCACTTTCCTAATTTAAGATGGGACAGCGTTAAATGAAATGTTGGAAAGATCGCAATGACACCTTGCGAAATACTGTATCTGTTTATTTTGTAGGAACCTCATATACAGGCTATGAAGCAGCGGTCTATTCAGCAGCATCAAGTTATTACCAACAGCAGCAGCAACACCAGAAACAGGCGGTGGCAGCTGTAGCTGCAACTGCAGCATGGACTGGAAACACTTTCACAAAGAAACCTCCCTTTGAGAATAAGCAGCTCCGGCCCAAGCAGCCACCAAAACCTCCCCAAATTCACTATTGTGATGTTTGTAAGATCAGCTGTGCTGGCCCGCAGGTGAGTTGTAAAAGGGAATTGGCAAAAAAGTCTTTTGTGTACTTTTGAAGTTGGATATTAAGACAGTGGTTACATTTCTGGCCTGTATGTAGCAGCGCAAACTGCATTTCATTCCATTTGGTCATTTGCTTTTATTCTAATTGTAAGACAAAGTTATCAAGATTATCTTTGTTTACTCCATATAGGACGTGCAAACAGCCACATTTCTCCCTATTTTCTGACATCACAGACCAAAATAGTAATTGAATACCAATTTGTTTGCGCATTTTCTGCACTGTCTATTTGAAGCAATGTTTGGTTTTGAATAATATATAAATGTCACATTTTGAATCTGATTACCGGTAATCAATTAAGTGAAATAAATCAACAGATCAAATGTTTATTTAAGGAAAATCGGTCATTGTTGCTCTAAAAATGAACATTTTACAGGCAATCCCCATTAAAGCCCGAATTGCAACATCCCAAGCCAAACCTGTTTATTCAGTCATATGGTAAAAAGTGTCTGAAGGAAATATTTTTTGAATTTCCATGAATGTTCCAGACCTACAAAGAGCATCTGGAAGGCCAGAAACACAAGAAGAAGGAAGCAGCACTAAAGGTTTCGCAGAACAGTAACAGCAGCAGCGGTAGTGGTGGTGGGTTATTGGCCCGAAGTTCTCAGAACCAACTCCGCTGCGAACTTTGTGACGTTTCCTGCACTGGTGCAGATGCTTATGCTGCCCATATTCGAGGAGCCAAACATCAGAAGGTACGGGAATCATTCGAACATTGCAATACATCACTATATGCAACACAGATGGTTTTTATGTGGATAGAACATAGGTCAGTTTTGTTTAGGTAGTGTTAAAATGTTTGTGATGTTATTGCTTCTTTTTAGATTAGATAAGATTGTGTTGGTTTATTTTGGTTGTTGGGGTATGAACTAATTCCCTTGATTGACAGCAGTCAACTGGTTCAAGCTGATTTGATGTTGGGTGTTGACTTGGCAAAATGAGTGTTTCTGAGCTCATTTTCCTGAGCTCGTTTTTATTTCTTACAGGTTTTGAAGCTTCATACCAAACTTGGAAAGCCCATTCCCTCTACTGAACCCAGCATGGTGACTCAGACTTTGTCTTCAAGCACATCTGCCCCAAGCAAAACCATCACTTCAACCTTGAGCAGCTCCTCTGCCAGCAGCTCTCTTGGTGTGGCTGCCTCCTTGTCCAGTACTCCCTACCTAAAATCTGTTAACCTGGTCAGCAGTAGCGCAAGTGGTGTCAAGAATCAGTTAGCGAGCAGTTTGTCTGCTGCCAATTCTACCATACCCGGAAAGAAAGTCAACACACCTAAGATTAATTTTGTTGGTGAGTTTAAAAAAAAAGAAAAAAAAAGATGATGATTATTATGCTTCTTGGCGGATGAAAATTGTCCATGCGAATGTTAACCCACTGCCTTCACCACTCAGCAAAGTATTGTGACACCGAAAAGGACCGGTATACCTGGGCAGGCACACAGCAGTGATTGCTCGATATACTGTCCTATCACCTCCTTTTCGATGTCAGGACTAATGTACACACACAATGTCATGGCTGTAGTATATGTATTTGCTACTTTTATGCTAAAAACCCACTAAGAGTTTCAGTACAAAAACTGACATAATAAAACAAGTTCTGAGATGAACCAATACACATTGAAGTGTTCAATATGTGAATCATCAAATTTTGTTAATTAAAAAAAAAAAAAGGGCGGAGGGGCGGTAATACAGAACTTTTGAGTTTATTTTGAGTATTACAAATAATTGGCACTGATTTGGTTGAATGGTCCATAGAATCTGAAAATATATATAACATATACACGCTGATGTATGACTATTTCCAAAATAATTTGAGGAAAAATCTGTTGCACGTTCTTTTTTTGCATAATGCATTGCGCAGGTGTTGGATCAGGAGCTGGTATAAACTGGTACTTAAAACCACAGACTCGGACTCATTGCCAAAAAAGCGGGATCGGGACATTCCTATACATAAGATTTGTAACTTCAAACGTTAGTGGTGTTATGACTTCAAAATCCCATTTACATGGTTTCATTGCAGGTGGGAGTAAATTGCAAACTACATCGAAGTCCGAAGAGTGCAAAGGCGAAGCCCCCAAGATTGCAATGTCCTCCTCAAGTGCTGTCGATGTCAAAACGGAGATTTCAGAATCTCTGTCTGCATCGACCCTGGCTGCACTGCAGAGTGATGTCCAACCTGTTGGCCATGACTATGTTGAAGAGGTCAGCTTTGTTGCACCTGTGCATGCCCAGTTAAGGCCACGTTTAATAACGAAAGACGTCCTGAAAACCCGAAGTTTTAAGAACACCATATTAAAAGACGTTTTTTTTTTGTTCTCTCTGTCCGACATGAAATTGTGAATTATAGGTTAATTTCGATTCCCAAAATTGTTTCCATTTGCTAAATTCCAGAATAATTCAACTCAACTGGATTTATAGGTCACTTTACAACCACCACCACTGAATACAAAGTGCTGTACATGGAGCAAAATTAATTCACAAAAACAAAGACCGTAGAAAGCACAAAAACGGTCAAACTAAAAATCAAGTCTCACACTGAGTCAAAAGCCAAAGATTAAAAAATAATTTTAAGATGAGTTTTAAAGATGGGCAGTTAGGAAGCTTGCCTAACCTTCAGCGGGAGGTCATTCCAAAGAGGGGCACCATCAACGGCAAAGGCTCAATTCCTCTCTGCTTAGTTCTCGGTACCTCTAATAGTGTCAGGTCCGAAGACCTGAAGCACTGGGCAAGTGCGTAGGGGCGGAGGAGCTCAGAGAAGTAAGCTGGGCTGAGGCCATTTAAAGATTTCAAAACAAATAGGATCTTAAAAAGAACTCTAAAAGGTATAGGGATCCCAGAGTAGTAGTTATGTGCTCCCACTTACGAGTTGCCAGTCAAGAGGCGAGCAGCAGCATTCTGGACCAGCTGGAGACGCTTGAGGGAGGATTGGTTCACACCAAAGTAAAGTGCAGGAAAAGTGTTTTGTCTCTTTTGATTAGACAAATGGGAGGGAGAAGCATGTGTGCCTTTTTATATAATGTATGTAAACCTCTTGATTTCAACTGTATCAACTTGAATATGTGAACCTGATTTCTAGGTCCGAAATGATGAAGGGAAAGTGATCCGCTTCCATTGCAAGCTCTGTGAATGTAGTTTCAATGATCCCAATGCAAAAGAAATGCATCTAAAGGGACGTAGACATCGCCTGCAATACAAGGTTTGTTTCTTCACCTTCATTTTTCATCCTTAAACCCTGTAAATGTATAAATAACATGGGAGAAGTCATTTATTTCCAACAATAGGGATGTTCACACGGCAACATTTGCTCCGGTGCTGCCCCAGTAGAGCGTTCACACGTGCAAAGTTACACTGGTGTAGCCCCTGAAAACAGCTTAAACCGGAGCAAATTTAACACTGCTCAGCGAGGTGCTTTAAAAATTTGCTCCGGAGCAAATGCTCGTTTGCGGGGCAGCACCGATGTAAAATGGTACGTGTGAACGCTACAGGGTTAAAAATTTGCTCTGGAGCAAATGCTCGTTTGCGGGGGGGAGTAGCCTCGCTACGCATGAGAAGAGTTGATTACATACGGCTCGAATGCGTTGCTTTCATGCTCTGTTGTACTTCCGTCATTTTTCCTTTTGTAGAAGGTTGGACTGTCTCGGAGTTGTAGTTGGTTCCTCTGTTGTGTGTTTCCAACCCCCACATAGAATTTATTTTGTGATTTCCTCTCTTGATTTTCTGTTTGGCGCATTATATGTTTGCTTTTCTGAGTGTCATTGAAGTCATCGTTGATTTACGTTTTCGGGGGCGGTCATTGAACGCCTCTCGAGCAGAAGGCACGGAGACCGAGAAGGACGTGCCTGCACAGTAGTTGCTTGAGTTGTGTATGTTCTAAAAAAAACCAACACGACAGCTCTTTGTTTTCTATCGTTTTGCTCCGCTGCAGAAACTGCCGTGTGAACGCAAGTGGGGCTGCACCGGGGTTAACACGCTTCTCTTTAGTCAGCGGCTTTGTACGTGTGAATGCTCCACAAAATTTGCTCCGGTGGAAGATATATCACAACAAAATACATCGGTGCAACACCGAAGCAAATGTGTGCCGTGTGAACACCCCTAATGGCTCAGGATAGACAGACTTCACTTTGAAATGTTTGTCCACCTGTTTTAACTGATGTGTGACACGATGACTCAGTCCACTATTGTGTTCTTGGTCCAGTTACTTACAGAACATTCTGTTGATTCTTATTAAGACTGATGACAAAATATGGTGACCAGCATGTTTACACATAAGATAGATGCATGTGCTCGTTGAGCTTATTAGTTGGTTATATATTGGGGACTCTTATTCACATATTATCCACATCCTTTTTCATAACCGGGTTACTGGATTACCTAATTCCACTACGTGTTTCTATTATGGCAGGGGTGGCCAACCAGTCAAGAGACGAAGAGCCAATTTTTTTATTGTGTTACTGCAAAGAGCCACATCATACCCTTCCTCATGCGCGCGCACGCACGCACACACACACACACACTTTTTTTGGCCAAACGAATGACCGACCCGATCGCGCACGTTCAAGCATATACATGCACGTACGCTCGCAGGCAGGTGCCCACCAGTTCACTCGTGCACATATGTACGCACACCACGAGGAGCAACAGTCGGAATGGGCCGAAAATGAATGAAAGCTAAAGATACAAATAAACAAATCATTTTTTCCCCCCCACCCATTTGCTCCTCCCACCCCTTACGGTCGACTTGGGACCAGTTCGCTGGCTCCCGGTCGATTCTGATCGACGTATTGGGCACCCCTGCCTTAAAATCAGAGGTAATTCGCTGACTAGCTTAGCGCCGTTGTTTGCGCATGAGCGGTGATGCATTCATCTAATTGGTTGCCCTCTATGTCAATCAAGTAACGGGATTGATAATAGGCTGACGTACGTTCTTTGTAGTTAGCGCCTTGTTTGAATGGCATCGGCACTGCCGAGGCGTTTTCTACGCTTGTCGTTTGAAAGTCCAGGAGCCGCATTGAACCAGCCAAAGATCCGCCCCTGTATTACGGTATATTCCCGTTCAAGATTCATTAAAGTGTAGCTGTGGTGGTCATAACAAAAAAAAACATATGGTTCATTAAGAAAAAATGCATCCACGTGTGTTTTGGTTACACTGGCTCTATTAAAGCAAACTTGGACGAGCTCGTGGGACTTTTCTGGCGCCATGGTAGTTTATGCACGCAGACATACTTGCTCCTTCTTGGCTTGCAGGAAGCAGAGTTGTGACGTAACATATATTGAAAGCCATCTCTGCAAGATGCCGGCGGTCCTTCAATCCGTCACTGACGGACACCCGTTTTGCTTATTTCTTCCAAGATGAACTTGCTCTAATACACCTCCCTCACTTTTTTCCTTGGTGTTAATCAAGTGACCTGTAGCCAAGCAATTCGAATAGGAAGAAAGACAGGATAGAAAGTACATTTACTCAGACACAGTATTGCAGTGTGTTAATAAATGAATACAAAACAGATATACACAAGCCCCAATTTCATAAACAAAATACATATTACCCAAATGCATGTAAATAAATTAAAATGCTGCAAAAGAATTTCCGCGGGTCATTAAAAAACATAGTCGTTACATGGATTTTTGTGAAAATTAAAATGCATTAAATATGATACCCGGGGGCATTAAACATTCTATGCAATTGATGGAAAAACATTGGGGAAGCGTGACTGTCAGATAAAGGCAGCGCGCAGCACATCAGACGCTGCACAGTAGGCGGAAGCCTGCCTGTGACGTGGGTTAGGTTAGATCATTTCCGTTAAAATACATAAACTGACGGGGTGGACCCCCCCCCCCCCCCCCGGGGGCCCCCCCGCCTCGGCCGATGAGGAAGCAGGCTGACGCACTAGCAGGCAGCCTCTCTAGCAATAGACTCCCCCTCCAGTTTGGGAAGCCCTTTTCTATGGCGGCTTATTAGAGTCCTCTACTGAAGTGAAAAAAAGAGGCAGATTTACATCCAAAGGCAAGCATTGCTTGAAACCCAGCATTGCTTGAAAGATGAAGTCCATCTCACACTCAACGGGAATCTAAAAAGTAACTTTATAAAGGTTTTTATTCATTACTGGAATTTGAATCTGAGTACCCTGCTGACTCAAATTGTTTGCCCCTTTCTTCTTAACTTTCCTCAGAACACTCCATGCTATCAACTGCAATATATCAACAATGACAATCTGGCATGTCACGCAATAGGAAACTGGTGTGTGCAAGGGAACACGCAGTCAATGACGTGACATCGCTTCGGTTCCTAATGTGGCACCTTGTATTTAAATTAACCAGGAGGATTGCGGGGACGCTCTTTTGGCAAATCTTGCAGCTGTTGTGAAAGCACTCTCCAAACAAAAATGTATGATAAAACACTAACCACAATAAAATGGGAACACCAGATATTTATCAAACTACTCAATATTGTTCCGTTTCCCCAACAAAGCATTGAAATGGGCCATCGAAGGTACACTGGATATGTCCTCAGGAATATTGATGAATTAACATTTCACATTCTGCGCTTTATGAAGTTATGAATTACATTCATGGTCAGTAATGATGCCATTCTACCACTTTTTGTTGTCTTTGTCCAAACATTCAGAAAAAGGTGAACCCAGATCTGCAGGTGGAGGTAAAGCCTAGCATCAGAGCGAGGAAAATTCAAGAAGAAAAGATGAGAAAGCAGATGCAAAAAGAGGAATACTGGAGAAGACGAGAGGAAGAGGAACGTTGGCGAATGGAAATGCGGTATGGTTGCTCTGATTTCTGCTTTTGAATGGCAAGAATATGGAGTGGACAGTAAGTAGTTTGATGTAGCTACATTACTAAGAGCAGTATTTTATTGCCACCTTTTTTTCCCCCACGCGAAAAATCTCACAGCACACAAGCAAACGAAAATGTCACGCAGTTTGACAGTTCTCATATTTTTGGCTCGAACAGCATTCAGCTTCATTTTGAGGGTGTTGACATCCAAGTCAGATAAACAGTGTCGGGAAATACAACAGTTTAGATATGTGCATCCTGCTATAAAGGACCAGCAGTAATGAGACAGCTGGTTGCTCAGCTTTTCCATGACTATGACACTTTGTTTGTGGATCTCAGCAGGGTCCTCCATTAAGCCTTTTTGGGTGGTGGCCCTGCCAGAACCAGCACTCAACCTGGATATTCATGATATAATTCAACAAGTTTAAAAGATTATACTGTATAATTTAAACCTTTAAGACAATATTTTCTGGGCTTTCTATATTGTTTAAACCATTTTTTATGGAAGGATTTAATAAGAAAAATGTGCCCAGTGCAATAGGAATGTGAATGATAACAACCACAAGAGTCACTCATTAAAATCCAAAACATGGTGAAGAAAGCAGTGTTAGGTTGCAATTGTTTATCAAAATAATGTCATAGTCAGTCTATATGGAAATGATCGAAGTCTGCCTGTTGAGGCCCTCCCAAACGATTTCAGTTCAAGGCCCAAATTAATAATTGCGTTACTTCCCGGAAGGAAATCTTAAGACGATATACAGATCTGTCAAAGATAGAATATCACTTTCCAGACTGATTACGGCTAACATTCAGATAGCGCTTCATTCAGTCAGCATGCCGGCAATGCGTCCTGACAATCTGAGATCTACTGAAAACAGGCTTGAGATCAGTTTTATGTTGCGACCTTTGGAAAGGCTTGTAAAAGACCAAAGTAGAAATTCAGCTGCAACTGATTTTCAGGCGATATGAAGAGGACATGTACTGGAGACGTGTGGAAGAAGAACAGCACCACTGGGATGAGCGCCGTCGTGGACCTGATGGAGGGTATCCACAGGGTCCACCTGGCCCTCCTGGTCTACTTGGAGTCCGACCTGGTATCCCAGGTTTGCAGCCACAGGGTCCTCTGGTAAGGTCAAGTACATTTCCCTTGTGGATAACTAAACTAGCCGGCCATCATTTAGTACAATATGTCACGATCTGAAGCCCAAATTGCCTCCAGGTTGGCATTGGTCATGAGAAACAATTGCCTTCCTTGGGTAACCAAAGAATAAATATAAAAAGAATTGAACTGTTATTTTTTAAAATATATTTATTTGCATGAAAATATCCCAACATGACAATTTTTAGCTATGTCTAGTGCAGCAGTTTTTACATAAATACAAGAGGGCTGCAAAAACAAGTCTAATATTGATAAAAACGGATATTGAATATTGATAAAAATAGATATTGAAAAGTGTTGGCAATGAATTAGATCAACAATTCGTGTTGCACGATTCTTGCGTCGCGTTTTTATTGCTTCAGTCGCGCTTTACTTCACATGTCATGAAGTGCATATGAGTATAGAGGGAAATGCACACTCATGTAACGCAAATGCAACAATGGAGAAAGTCACTATAGATTCCTACTTTATTCCATTTTGAAATGAGGAAACCTAATATTAGTCTCTCTTGGTGCTTGCATACTGTACCATATTTTCTGGACTATAAGCTGCCACTTTTTTCTGTCAAACTTTTAACCCAGTGGCTTCTATCAAGCCGTCAATAGATTTACCCATTCTTGTTACATCAGACCGATGAAATTACCGAACGTGTCACAGTAGACCGATGATTTGCGGTTAGAACAACACGTTTCACAGCTGTGGGAGGAGCTGATTGGCTGAGAGAGAGAGAGAGTAAGACCGGCAGAAGTGTTTGTATTGTGTAAAGGAGGAATTGACAGAACACAAGATAATTGTTTAATAAGAAATAGGGAACAAGTGCAATAAACAGTTGTGCAATTCATCGAAATTCAATTCGGATTTCGATAGCTCCGCGTTTACAAAATTGGCATAATCGTAAAAAAAAAAAAATATATATATATATATATA